CAAACTCCCCTCTCACCTCCGGGTTCACCCGGTTTTTCATGTTTCTCAGATCAAGCCTGTTTGTTCCAGTCCCTTGTGCCCTCCACCGGACCCCCCCTCCGCCCTCCCGGCTAGTGGATGGCCATCCTGCCTTTTCTGTCCAGCGCATTCTGGCGGTCCGCCCTCGTGGGCGTGGCCGTCAATATCTGGTGGACTGGGAGGGGTATGGACCGGAACATCGGTCCTGGATTCCCCGTTCCTTTATTTTGGACCCTGATCTCATCTCTTCATTTGAGAGGTCATCTGCTTCTACCTCTGGTTGTCCGCCAAGAGGCGTCCATTAAGGGGGAGGGTACTGTCATGTCCACGAAGCGGTGCTGTGAGTGTGTTGTCTCCTACCCTCTCTCCTGCAGGGCGTGTCGGACAGGAGCGGCCAGCTGGAGCTCATCTATCCATCAGGAGGAGCGTTTTAATAGAAGCCGGATCCTGATAGCGCTGCCAGATGGTTCTACGCTTCCAGTGACTCCTCGTTCCTGGTCAAAGAGTCCTCGTTCCTTGGTCCGAAGTAATCCTCGTTCCTGGTCTGTAAGAGGGTCTGGTTTGGCTTCTCGTCCGGCTCCACGCGGCTCCTGCTCACAGCCGTTCCCCGTCTCCTGCCTGGCTCCGTTTCCTGTCCGTCCGCCTTCGTTGCTGGATCACCCCCGCTCAACGCGCTCGCCTGCCTGTCCACCCATCGACCCCCAGTGGATGCTCCGGCTCTCCCTCCCGGGACCCCCCCCCGCTGCTGGTCACAAATAAATTTGAACTTACCTTTTGCTGGTGTGGCGTCTGTAGTTGTTTCTGCTCTAGAGTCTAGTAAACAATCATGTCAGAGACCACTTATTCTTTGCAGCACATTCAAAGAGTGACCGTTTGCAGTTCTTTATAATCCATAAGATGTTTATAAAATCTGCTGTGCAATAATAATTTGAAACAGTGCAGTTTGAGTTTTTTATTTTTGAAAAAAATACTGTTCTCATTGGGAGGTTTGTTCATTAAAATTTGCTTTATACTGTAATAGTTCATGACTTGAAAATTATACTGACCATCATTTGCATTGACCATTTAAGAAAATCTGAGAAAATATTACTTGCATAATAATTTGGAACATGGTGTAGATACAAATACCACTTTTAGAGCCTTTATGTCTGAACATCTGTGTTACATGCTACCAAACATCGGCAATACATGTTTGAAATGTTCCATCACTGCACTAACCTGAAGTTGAAGTATTCCTTGGGTTGGAACATGCTCAAAAATGTACATGATTTCTGTGGAGGGTGTATCTTTGTCCTTTGCAAACAATGTAATGCTGGATATAACTTTGGCTTCTCCTGGTTCCACCTCCAGTCCATTGTTCCTGCAGCCCACATTGTCACTTTTCCTCTCAACAATCACATGGAAACTGACTTTAAAGAAGAACTCTAGACAATATGTTTATCAAACCTGAACACATGAGGCTCTTCGTCATTCACTGGCACCACTTCAACCATCACTTGTCTTTGGAGCTTATGTTTGCCATCAGTCAGCTGAATTATAAAACTGTCTTTCATGGTTTCACTGTCGTCATGCAGATACACTAGATCCAAACCTGGCATAAGATTGGGACACAAAATTAATATGAAAAGAAATTAATATAGAAAGAAAGAGAGAGAGAGAACAAGACTTTTAGTTGATAACAGGAAGTCTACACTCACAAATAGTAAGCTGCTCTGTTAGAGCAGATAATGAAAATGCAGGATTTAGAAATGGGGGCAGCTCTTTAAAAATCTCAGAATTAAGTGCAACCATTCTCTGCAGAAGGCACGGGGTGACTTGTGCTTTAGAAATGGCCAGCTACGCTATACATGACAGTTGCTATTATAATTTATATTTATAACTTATTATTATTATAATACATAATTTATATAAAATGTACCATTTTTAACATCTGTCATAGTAAAGTCAACCACAGGAAACCATAGGTTGGGTTCCTGTCTCTTAGAGATTGGGTTTCCAGTCCTGTGACAGATGACGCTGCCATGGCGAGGAGGTCTGACCACAGAGAAAAGCAGGGCATTCTCGGGGATGTCCAGGTCCATTGCATGGAACACTGATGAGTCCAGGTGCTTCATTTCTCCCTCTTGTACCTTAGGACACAACAAATCAAACAGTCAACTTATTCTAGCCACATCCTGTAAAACTCTAATGGGATGAAGAAGGAGATGTTTGGGGGTGAACTTACTGTGATATTGTGTGCTACAAATTCTGGGATTTCATCATTTGTTGGGTTAATTATTATATAGAAAGGGATGTTAGCAGAATTATGCTTGCCATCTGAGACACAAAGCATGAGCTGGTCAGCTGTGGGCTCCATCTTCTGGTGTCTGGACTGTACATAGTTTATATGACCCTCAGTGATGTCCTTGTAGAGAAAAGAAGCTGGAGAAAAGGAGGCAACACCAAACAAATGAAACTGCTTAATTTCCCTGTATTTCCAATAAACGGTTGGTATTATGATGCTTACCTGTGCTTATGCCTGTGTTGCTTTTCTCAAAGCCAGGACTAGGGAGGACATTTTCTATGTAACCAAACTGGGGAGGAGAAATCAGCCTGACAACAAGCTTGTCTAGGACTGTGTCCATGTCAGAGACCTTCAAATGAGCAGCAGTTATAAGGGAAGTCCCACCTTCATCCACTGTAAAAATGTCACCTGGAACCACCAAAAAACAGTTCATGTCATTCTACTGCAAGTAATAAATATGTTGCTTACATATTTACTGTTTCATACAATCGCAAACACAAGTCCCCCCTAAAAACTCAAATCCCATGCAAAAAAACTTGGGGCCTCATGTACAGTATAAAAGAGTGAGAAATTTTCACACAAACAAATTGGCATACGGACACATTTAGAAAAGTGCAGAGTACAAAAAACTTCAGATGTATAAAGCCGTGCGTATGCACAGACCTGCGCACCTTTCCATTATAAATTCCAATTTGCGTGAAACAGAGCGCAGCTTCTGGTCCACCCTGTCACCACCCTTAAATACATATGTTAATTAGTATAATTACCCAGAAGACTGCCACAATAACCATGGCTTGCAGCAGGATAAGTATTTATACTTATATATATATATATATATATATATATATATATATATATACACTTTTTTGAAGGTGCTTTCAGGGCACATAAGGTCACTTCACAAAAAATAAAAGTAATAATCACTAAAATACACTCACCTAAATACACTAAATAAATTTTAGTGTATTTAGGTGAGCTTTGCGCCTTCTAGTTTGTTATTGCCCCCCATAAAAATTTGAGTGGCTGCCACACATTTTCACAGCAGGTAAAAACGCTTGCGTATATTTACACAAACTTTAACGCCACATTCATTTTTATACATGCCAACTTGTGCATATAATATGGCCCCGCACATTTTTTGTGCGTCTGCACACTTCATACATCAGGCCCCTGGTTTTCAGCCCACCTGTTGCCAAGGAAGGAGGCTGACTGTCAACAGGAAACACTGTGATGTGGAGGTCGTAGACAGGAAGACTGTCCCGTCGCTGGGTGCTGCCTTTGTTCCTGGTGGGAGTTTCCCCACTGCAGCATAAAGCTGATGTTTTTATTTCTTCATCAGAAATGACAAATGTGATGGTGTCATGTAGAGGAGATACTCCAATCTCCAATCCTAAAAGAATCAGGAAAAACAGTTGAAGACTGAACTCCAGATGTGCTGTATCTGTGGACTGTGCATTTGTAAATAATTGTTTTGTGCATATATTGAATCATCCTGTGGACATGTGAATTGTCTTGTCCATTTGTGAATCTCGTTCTGTGCATTTGTGAATATTGAGGGTGTTTCAGCTCCACAGATCTGCCACACCAAATCCAATAAAACACAATGAAGTTGGTGATTGTAATGAGATCTGTTTATACCCTGATCAAATGCTGGGTATAAACAAAAAATGTCTGAAACTGTTTTTTAATATTTTTAATTTATATAATATTAAATAATTAGATTTATTCTTTCATATATCAGTATTCATGGAAATGTTTTGCCAGATTATTGACAAGTGATCTTACTTTTTATAAGTTTATGTTTAAGTAAAATGAACATTGTTCTTTTATTCTATGAACTACTGACATGTCTCTGAAATTCCAAGCAAAAATTGAGTATTTATTTGCAAAAAATTAGAAATGGTAAAAATAACAAAAAAGATGCAGTGCTTCAGACCATTAACATTATTAAGAGGTTAGTAATCAATATTCAGTGGAATAGTCATTAGGTTTTCAATGGGGTTCAGTTCAGTGGTCTCTTATTTTTTTTCCAGAGCTTTATATCCTGTGAGCCTGGCGAGTTCTCCATCATTATGGGAAACTCACCAAGTTCCCCATAATGATGAAGGTAAACAAACACACAGGTGTTTGTTTACCTGTGTGTCTGTAAGCGATGAGGCCTGCTGTGATGTCTGATTGGACGAATCGATCTACAACAACAGCGTTTCGCAGAACCACCCCATGGTAAGGCTGCCGGGCAATAAGAAACCCAAGGCTGCTGTTGTCACTATCAGCATCAGTGGCAAAGATGTACTCTGAAGTGATGATTATTTCTTCTCCTTCTGGACACCTGAGAACTGGTTTCAAAGTAGTAGCCATCACTGGGAGCTCATCATTTATGGGCGTTACCTACAGACAGCAATGTATTCAGATTAATAGGTAGGATTTACATATTTATTACATATTTTCTGAGATTGTGCAGTTACCTTTACAGGCAGAACAAAACTGACTGAATTAATGCCGTCTGTTGCAATGAGAACTATGGTATCTTCTGTAGTTTCTGAGCCATCATGATTGTACCTGTAAGAGCAAATGACCAGAGTAATGGTTTAAATATCATACGCCAAAGGTTTTCTTGGATAATTTTGGAAGAAAAAAAAAAAACATGGTTATTAACACTACACACAACAAGGTTGTGAAAAAGTTTGCAGGTATCTTCTTTTTTTGTCACAGTTAAATGTTTCAGATCAAAGATGAACTGAGTAAATACAAAAAGCTGTTTTTAAAATATGAATTTTTCTCATCTTCCAACATAAAAAGTGCAGACATTGCTGCACTTTCTTCACCAGGCCAGAGGTTTGGAGGGACTAGGTCAAAGTCTCAGTAACCTGTATCCCCAGGAATTTGATGTTCCTGACCTGTTCCACTGTGGCATCATTGATGAGGAGGGGTGTGTGACTTGGCTGATTTTTCTTGAAATCAACAACAATTTATTTTGTTTTGTTGACATTCAGGATTAGATGGTTTACATCACACCAGTTCACC